AATTTATTATTATTATTATTATTATTATTATTATTATTATTATTTTCGTTTGTCCAAATCGCTTCACCTTGATCCCAACTTACCTGGTCAAAGGAATAATAATAATAATAATAATAATAATAATAATAATGATGTTTGCAATCGAGCACGACCCTCTAATAGAACCAAGTCTTGAACCTTTGATCAGAGGATTGTGACCTATGCCGTGTGTACCGTTCAGCCACACAACAAGCACGCGAACAATATGCCACCCCCTCGGTGAACACGTCCGCTCGCTAACAAACAAAGTCATAATTTTTCTTCTTCTCATCCTTCTTCTTGTCCTTCTTCTTCTTCTTCTTCTGCTGCTGCTGCTGCTGCTGCTGCTGCTGCTGCTCTCTTCTTCCTCCTCTTCCTCCTCTTCCTCCTCTTCCTACTCCGCCTGAGCCTCTGATTTCCGTCTCTGGTCTTCACTCAAATTGCCAGCGGGAAAAGAAAAGCGTGCAGAGCAGAGAAATAATAACCAGAAAAAAAAAAGACTACCAGGTGGGTAGAGCTGTGTGAGGCTCTTTGAGCAAAAGGGTGCGCAGCAGCCACAAAAAAAAAAAAAGAAAAAAAAAAAAGGGATGCGCAGCAACACTCGGGCGACGACTTGCGGCAGCAGCGTCGTCGGAATAGGTCACGTCCCTGCGGTAAATGTTTATTTAGTATTTATGTTTAATCATCTAATATATGCATATGGAGAAAAGACAGCAGGCAGGGGGAGGGAAGTAAGGTGAAGAGGGGGGGAGGAGGGGAGAATTATCGCGTGAGAAAAACGACGACATTTCGCGCGAGAGATAGATTGATTAGTCATTCCTGATCAGTTCATTTTCCTTTTTTTTTTTTTTTTTTTTAATTCTGTAGCGAACACATCATCTTTTCGTAAAGGATAAAGTACTCACTACTCGGCCACGAGCCTTCTCCATGCCTGAAGGGTTTTCTTTTTTTTTCTTTTTTTTTCGTTTCCTCGGATGCCCATTTCTTGATCTTTGACTGAAGTCATCCTTCTTTTTTTTTTTTTTTTTTCCCTTTCTCCTCCCAAACTTACCCGAAGAATCTTGGCATATCTTCGTAGTAAGGATCCCGGACCAACGTATCCATCACATCAAATAGGAGAACAGGGGGTTGTTCCCCCCAGGACGACGTCCCCGGTCGAGTTTCCAGAGCAGTGCCAATCTCTCGCACAGAGCCTTCTCTCTCTCCCTCTCCCTCCCTCCCTCCCTCTCTCTCTCCCCTTCTTCTTTCCTTCTCCCCTCCCTCCTCTTCTTGTTCCATTTCCTCTCTTCTCCTCTCGCCACGTGGCACTCCATTAGAAGACGGCGATGTCGTCGTGGCCACGCTGGCCCGTCCGTTGTCCACGTCATCGCGCTCAGCGCGACATTCGCCGCCGCCATAGCCAGAGCTTCTCATCTCCTCCATCATCCTCACCATGTCGTCGTCATTTTCCTCCTCCTCCTCCTCCTCATCATCATCATCATCATCATCTTTATCATCATCGACGGCCGCTCCTCGATTGTCATCATATCCACTCTCCGGAGCAAAGCACGCATGATGGCCACGTGGCCATGATGATGACGTCGGGACTGCCAGCAAAGCAGCGGCCCCTGTCGACGCAGCAACCCTGTCCCTGTCGCCCATCTGCCAATCCATCTCCATCTCTTCCACGTGGCAATCAACAGCAGGGCCCCCCTGTTGCTTTGCGTCGTCCTTGCACACAACGAACAATCCCGTTGTCGTTGTCGTTTTTGTTGTCGTCATCGCAATCTTCGTGTCCAGCGGCCCTGGTTCCTCCACCTCATCATCGTTTCGCATCTCCATCGCGATCGCGGCCTTCGGTCTGATCGAGACCGAAGGCCCGTCGTAAGCGTCCACGACCGTCTCGGATCCTCGACCGCCCCCTCTCCCCTCCTGCTCCTCCTCATCCCGGCCCCGACCGTCCTGTCGCATCCTTGTCCCGATCATCATCAGGTCCCGACTGCCACTCCTCTCCTTCCACGAGGACGAGAGAGACACGTGTCCTGTCTCTCTCTGCGGCGCCGCTGCCAGATCCCCTACCCCTAATAATGAATGCACGTGCGTCGTTGAGGTTGACACGTGTCCTGGCACCGACACGCGTCCCGATCCCGACCAATCCGTTGAAACTACGCGAGCCTGTCTTCTTGACGATGCCACGTGTCCTGATGTCATAAACGACCGCCCCCGCTTTGGTCCGGACACGCGTCTAGGTGAGCGCTGTCTAGATGACAGCCACGTGTGCTGCGCTTTTTCCTGTCCTCCTCCCACCACGTGTCTGCCTTTCACAACACCCGCCGCCCCTGCTGCACGTGTTACACATTTTTCTTCTTCGATGCCCACGCCGTCGACATACTGAATTTCGTCATTAATACCGCCAAAGCCACGCTGTCGCCCCGCGTCATCGTCTTTCTGACACGTGTCATCACGCTGGTCGGTCGTCAGCACATCAGCTCTTTTCCTCCATACACGGATCGCCGCGGCACCACCTGCAGTTCTCAGATACCCCCGACCATTCTCGAGTGCGGGACGGGATCCGAGAATCTCGTAATCGTGGCCACCGCCGTCGCGATCCCAATCGCGGGAGAGGTGGTCATCTTGCCACCTCAGGCGGATTACTGGAACTTGCCACGTGGCAGCATCCAGCTGCTGCTTCTGCGGCTGCTGCTGTGTGCGGCAGGAGGAGGAGGAGGTGGAGGAGGAATGGTGACCTGTCCTTTGACGGGAGGACGAAACGGCGGTTAACGTCGTCAAAACGGCGGCACACGGCGGCAAACGGCGGCAAACGGGGCCAAACGGCGGCAAACGACGGCAAACGGCGGCAAACGGCGACAAAGATCCAGCGAGGCAAGCACAGGAGCGATCTTCTGTCGCCGTGTAACGGTGGGGCAAAACGGAGGAAAACGACAAAAGAGAAGGCGGGAAAGAACGCTGCTGCTCCGCGGGAAATTCCTGTCTGATCGTCGTCGTCGTCTGAAAACGTCTCCGCCGCGCGCTATCTGCAGTTTTCCCGCCCTTTTCTCTCTTTCTATTTTTGGAAAGCTCCTCCCCCTCCTCGTCGTTATTGGTTGCTGTGATGAAAGTACCGACAGCAGCGTTGTCAGCAGATGAGCGCTCTCTATGTCCGGTGATCTTAACTCGGTTTGTGCTCGTTCGACCTCCGTGCGTGTCAATCTGGTATGGATAAGAGTTAATTTCATTTGGATAAGATTTTATTGTTAATTGGTTACTCTGAATTGAACACGTAATCATAAGATGATTCATTTGAATTGGATAAGGCTTTAATTGGACTGCAAATGGAGTACTACTTGGCATTGAACGGTAATTAAAATTATAATAATAATGATTCATTTTGATTTTTTTATTCTTTGGAATTCGGTTTTGGTTCTGGATTGGAATTGGAGAAAACCCAAAAAAAAAAGAAAAAAAAAAGGAAAAGGATTGGAGAAAAAACTGATGTTACCGAGAGCGTCCACGTCGCGACAAGTGCTCAAGGGATCCTGACCGCTCACTCGAGATCGGGATTGGGGTCGGGCTTGGGATCGGCATCGCGATTGATCGGGAGCGAGGTCGAGACGCCAACGGTGTGGACAGGATCGTCGACCTTTGACGGACTGCAATTCCGCGGAGCCCACCGCGAACAGACCTGCACTGCGCGCACGCGGCGCACGCGCGCGTGCGCGCGCGCGCGCGCAAATGCGCGCTCCTCTTTGGTAGTGGTCACGCAATTCTTGACCTCCCCCTCGCTTTCAAATTTCGCCCTCCAACGTTTTTTAATGTTTTCGATGGGCCATTTTTAGCCCCAATATTCGCTTTCAAAAAGTTTATTAAGAAAAATGGAGCAAGTTCTCGTCACTCCCAATACTGCACACGCCATCGCTGACTGGTAATTAATTATTATTAATTGTAATTGCTAATTAGTAATTAGTCAATCCTCTGTTTGATTAAGCCAATGCATTGACTATCTACGAACCAAGCTAGCTACCCGTCTTCAACTGAACATAACGCAGCCTCCACGCGACCGTACCGGGCCGGAAAGATACCTTGTATACATCCATAATCAGGATGCGTTGTGTTCGGGGGAAGGAGGAACTCGATCTCATACGTCGACCAGGCACAGATGGACATTTGAAAAAAATGAGAAAATTGAAAATTCACTCATTTGACTCAATGTATTGCGAAAGAGAAAGAACTCGGTATGCGACGGTTCAAGACCGAAATCCACCCATCCCCTAACATAAGAATTGGAAAAAAAACAATTCGGTCATAATTATTTGTGAGGTCCCCGGCCTCGAACAAATTATATAAGGAAGTGAATTTGATTAAAAAAATAATACTAATAAAAATTCGACAGATGGTATTCCAGTAAGTACACCCCTCGCCTTCTTGCCCCAAATTAACATGATGGTCCTCCCACTGGGGTTGGGGTACCGGTTGTGCGGATTCGGGAGATAACGAAGATCAACGGCTAGTATCTCTTAATCCGTGCAAGTCGGAACTCAACCCAGCCTCTCAAAATGAATGCATTTGTTCTTTTTTTCTCGAATTGTTCGTTTGGCAAAAAGAATGCTCCTCACACGGCCTACCAATATGGTGTCTGAAACATATGCCATATTGCTCTCATGTCAATGCGGGCGTGCAGGTGTGCGGGTGTGCGTGTTTTGTTTTTGTTTTTTTTTTTTTTTTTTTTTTTTTTTTTTTTTT